CTGTGCTTCTCTCCAGTGGCTGGACAGACCTGCATGGGTTTGGCCGCAAGAGGGCTGTATCCACTCACAAGAGGAAAGCTTCTCTCCTATCATCAGAACACAGCTCCTGGTAACTGGGATTTCAGAGCTGGTACAGACCCCACACACAGCTCTCAAGTGACTAAGCAAAGAAAGAAGGCAGCTGAGAACAGTTGTTTGTACTATGGAAAAGAGTGCAACTAAGGAGAGGTTTGTCACCATCACCTTCCTTTCAATTACTCTGCAGTAAGATAAGTCTCCAGACGGAAATAAAAGAGCTTTCCCAATTCTGAAGTTGGAGATGTAGAGAAGCATTTAGCTACTGCTTTTGTGAATGCTTTAAAAACCTCTTCCCTGTTTTCTGTTGCTCTGCAATTGCTATGTCATAGCAAACTTCCTGTTCTTCGACAGCTGAAAGAGCTTCACAACTGACCCTTGGGGTTTTTTCTAATCCTCTTAAAATCAGAGATCAGTAACCTTCCTAGGCATTTCCCTATTGTACAACTACACATTAACCGCAGCCCCAGTGAAAAGTCACTAAGTGTGTCTAAGCCCAGGCCATATACTGCATTTTCCCTTATCTAAAAAATTGCAGGAATTTTATTTTTTCCTGGAGAACTGCAGGGATTAGTCAACTAAATCTCCTCTTCCTGAATTTACTGCCTTTCCCAAACTAATTTAATTTTCCAGGTATTTTCTACCGCACCCCTGAATGGAGCCAGCAAGATTTTCACGTTAATTCATAGTTCCCTTTTTTCTTTGTGCTTTTTAAAAGCCAGGAATTACGTTTACCCCTTTCCAATTCCTAAATGGCCCGAGTTTGCCTCTGAATTCCTTGCTGATCTCCTCTTAATGTGCCATGATTTTTTAAAGTCCGGCTTACGCTACTTAGAATAAGCCCATTTTTCCACGAGGCATAAAACAATACCATTTAGTTAGCATGTGAAATCCAGTTCATTACAGTTCAGAAGCCAAGTTTTTTAGTTTTTGTTTTTTTTTTTTTAATTTAGTGTCTCAAGACAAATTAGCTAAAAATGTTCTGAATTCTATCAACTGAGCAGAGCTCGTTGTTCAAATCTATGTGGCGCTACCACCAGCGAGTATCCTACCTCCCAAACTCTTCAGTCTGGGGCTTCAGATACTCCCAAATACATGGCAGGTATCCGATGTGCAAGCCCCAAACCTAGAGGCCCTCTAGGTCAGATCCCCCTAGTCTCACTTGCCCCTAGTCCAAAGGCTGCACAAACAAGCCAGAGAAAGCCTCAGAGCAATCCCCCCTTCATCATAAATTGCGTAGCCAAAATCCTCCTATTGGGAGGCTATAGTCGAGTTTCGCACGGGCGCCCGCCTGCAGCGCAATGGACAGGTCTCCATCCTCAACTGCACCAAGTCAGTCATGGCCAGGAAGAAGGGGATCTCCCCTGCTAGGTACATAAAACCACCTTGACCAAAACCCACCTTTTGGTATCTCCCCTAGTAACCAATACACATGCTCCCTCAAGGTGAGAACATTGTAAAGCCCAGACACATTCACATTACTGTTATGTAAACTCACCAGGATCAATCCTCCGCAAGTGCACAGTTGACCCTGGAAATTTTTACAGTAGAATAAGCTTAAGTGCCTAGTTTTCACTATGCTTATCTTCAGGTAGGCAACATGCATTAGTTACCAAGTTAACCATGGTGGAGGCAGGGTTAGGTAGGAAGGACCATGTCCATCTTAAGAGAAAGTTGTATCGAAGTTACTTCCAAGAGCTGTGTGCAAAATCAGAGCGAGGATGCATGTGAGCAGTTCTGGTTTGAAGACCTCCCTTTCATCATAGCTAGGGAAGCATGACAAATCAAAAATCTATTCCCATCTTCCTGAAAGATGGAAGTAACAGTTTCAAGAGGACTAGAAAAAGCTCACCTCGAGGTAGAGTCTGAATTTCTAGACTGAAGCCTTGTGTTAGTGGAGCACTGCTGACAGGCTGTGTAAGTGTACTGTAGTCACTGCTACTCCTTTCAGGTGCTGTCAAATGAAAACTAAATGATTACTTCTCCAGGTAAGCAGCTACTTAAATTTTAAACTGCGTTGCATCATCAGGAATTTAAATGGACTACAGTGGCTCGACTATAAAGCACACATTATGTTCTAAAACCTGAGAACCTGCTTGTTAAATCCAAATACTGTTTGCACCAAAGTGTCCTGAAGGAGGTGGTGGAAGGCTTACGAAAAAGCTGGACAAGATTACCATCGTCACAGGCATTATTTCCAACCCATTAAAATCAGTAAGACTATGTCATCCCCATTCTTCCCCCCGGGATACTTCTTGAGCTGAACTGGATGAGGTATGTGAGCAGGGTGGTCCAGGGGACCACCACAGTGTAGCTTTGTGACACTACATCTGAATCCAGACATGGTGGAAGGAGGTTAACTGTATTACAGCAGTCTGTGAAGGCTCTAGCTGAGATTAGGACATGGGTCATGCTAAGCACTGTAGAACAATCCCCAACCTAAAAAAACCTTTCAGTCTAAATTTGTTAAAATGTGTTGGGGGAAATGGGTACCATGGCAGACAATAACCATGGCTTGAAGCCACCAACAGAACCAAGAACCAACTTCAAATCCATGTCTTGGGCCAGCATCCTATCCACTACACCATATGGGTTCTGATGAACAACTGGACTGCCTTTAATTTGTATTTTATTCTCAGTGAAGACTTTGTCCACACAAGGTGGTGTGACTTCTGTAATTAATTAGTAAATACATCCTTCCTCCCTCCCTTCACTCATGACCACAATTACACTTGCATGGCTTATTCCCCTACGAAAGGGGGGTGGGAAAAACCTATGCTATTATGAAACAGCACAACACCAGGGGCTTTACCCACATAGCCATTTTGGTAAAAGAAGTCATGCCCCAAAATAGTATGGCCTGTAAGAGATCCCTGTGTAGACGAGATGCAAATGGTCTAGGCTCCTCTGAAATTCACTATTATTTTCTTAAAAGGGGGAACTTAGATCACACGCTGGTTAAAACTGGAAACAGCAGGCAACTCCCCTTCCTTGGTCAACCTGCAGTTTCAAAACTACAGGAGTGCTTACACACTTCAATCCAACTTCAAACGTTCCCTGTTAGAGACTCAAACGGCAACACCACCAAAGGAAAAAAAACTCAAATGTTTCCCTGGGGTTTCCCAACTTTAAGGCAAGGAAATGTGCAGCAGCTCTCCTGCCCCAGCCCTTGCCTCGTATCAGCCGAATTGGAAACCAGAGGCCCACCGATGAACACTTTGGCACAGTGCCTAACCACATGCAGATGTGTGAATGCTAAACAGGTCACCTGGAAAAGCACAATTAGAATAGAAAGGGCACTTGAATCAATATTAATGCCTATATTCACATTTCATATTTGCACAGAAATCTCTCCTTTGAATGGCCCTACCAGCCACATGCTGACAGCCCGCAAGGCATTTATTCTCATTGTATTTTCCCAGGATTAGGAGTTCATTATAACCCTGAAGCGAATGGACAAGAGCAGGCAGCAGGTCTGTAGCTGTTTAAGAGGAGTCTCCAAACACCAGAGAAATAAGGTTTAACAAACCCATCAGGCCACATTTTCAGCTCAGAGCAGGGGGGCGAGTTTGGCCGCGCTCCACCGAGGATCACCTCCCTACAGCTGGGCTACAGCTTCAACTGAGGATGGACCATTGCCACCTGGCTGCTTCAGCAACAGGGTATTCTCCTCCAAACTGAACTAAAGGCTATTGTGAGAAGCCACGGCAAGAACAGCAAGAATACCCTTCAGGCCACCAATGCAAAGCACAGAGCCGAGGGGAAGCTGAACAGCGGCCTTCCATTACCACAGTTGGTTCGAGATGTCCGCATTTCAAATCTGCCATGTGCTGGCGGACTAAAATACCTCTTCTCCAAACGTGAGCATTTTAATGGTGTACATTAAACGTAGTGGAGGGAAAGCCTGATATTCTGATTCTTTTCTGAATACATCTGTTTTGTGTTTGCTGCGTGCCTGAGGCACGGATCCCAACTTGCAGCAGGGTGCCAACACCCTGGTGCCAACGCTGTGAAAGTATGGCAAGCTAATGAACAACAGCCATACTGCGCTGGCGAGATGCACTCCATCTGTGAAGCGAGCCTTTCCTTCAAACAAATCCATTTCAGCTCAGCTAGGTGTGAGAAACGAAAAGCTTTACTTGCTTTCCGTGACCACACAGGCTAAGTGGTCGTTTGGACTAGCCAAAACCTCTGACGCTTGCTTTGTGTTTTAGTTGTACCTCGAGATCTAGGTGCAACTGCCGCCACAGAGGACAGCATCCGGTACACGAACTCCAAGCAGCTCAACAGAAAGGAACGGAGAGAAACAAGAAGGACGCCAAGCTGCACACTGCTTCCCGGGAATTTTTTTATTTTTATTTTTTGTTGTAATTTTTTTTTTTTTTAAGTTTTTTTTCTTTTTAGTATGGAGGCTCAAGTATAAGATGTAGATTCAATTCAAGCTTTACAAAAAAACAAAAAACAAAAATAAATCAAAACAAAATCCCCTTTTGCATTCCATAAAAATTGACAGAAAAGCGCCTTGGAACCAGGCTGTAGAAGAGCAGAACTTTCAGCAGGTCACCAAATCAATGTCCCCTTGCAAGTCTGGTTGAGTCAGTATAGTACAACACCGAGGAACACCCTCTCTTCCCTCCCTCCCGCCAGCCATCCCCTGTGCCCAGCCCCCAAACATACGTGGAATAGGTTTTTCCAGTTCTTCCACTTTCATACACCACAGTATTTAATAAATTTTTTTGTTTTACATTTTTTACACCAATGTAACAAAAGGCAGGAAGGGGAGGAACAGACAAACAGAATGATTGGTGTTTATGCATATAAATGGGGGAGGGTTGAAGAGAAAAAAAATAAAAATACATGACTTCTACGGAAACAGTCTAAGGTCCTGATAGTAAAATGGGGTGCAAAGTAGGCCTCAGAGACTGAAAAAGTTTGTACAGCTTTATTTATAGGGAGAAGATGGCATTGCATGGATAGTACTGAATGCAAACTGTGACATGACGTAACAGAAAAAGGGGGGCAGGGGAGAAAATGAATTTTCTAAGAAAGGAATCTAATGAGTGCATGGCATGTCTTGTTAGCATGAAGAGTATTTTAACTTTGCTGCTTTCTCTTCAAAGCCTCCACCAGGTCATTTTTAAGAGCTTCTTGTTTTGATTTGTCTGCAAAAGTCTGCACAGACCTGTTGGGAGGAAGGAAAACACAAATTAGAAGTGGTGCATTTAAAGCAGGAATTTAACAGGTCTTTTGGGACTGAAGCAATAGCACAAGCATGTCAACTCAGGCTCAGAGGAAACAAACTCTGCTTGCCTGGAGCAAGCATGGAAGATGGAAATAAAAAAACGGAGCATTTTAGCAAGTAACCAAAGCTAAATTCACTCTAGCGGGGACAGCATCAGAAGATAAAAAACTTCCCCTGAAGTTCCACTGTGCCTCCTGCTCCTGGAGGAATATTTCCAATATTTACGCTAGAGTTTGGAAGTGTCCAGATGTAACTTGGACAAACTCAAAATGTCCATGAAGCTAAGACCGGATAGTATCTTATAGCAACTGTGAAATGGTCCAGATGGTGGGCTCTCCATGTAGTAGAAATAAGAGTTCAGATAAACATGTCAACCTTTCCCTTCCAAGGCATTCACCACAGACAGAAAAGAACCTGCTGTAACCAGGCATTAAACAAGCAAGGCTTAAAGTAGAGCTCAAATGAGTTGTTTGAACGCTTGACTTGAGAGCAGCTCCATGGACTCCAGCGCCACATGAAAAATGTTCCACTCGGGTCTATTTGCTGCACGACGCACAGCTTTAAATGCAGCTAGCTAACTAGGCACCTTCTGCTTAAAGTTTCAGCTGATAAAAAATGCACATTAAAAGCTGCAGTTTCTAACGAAGTGAATCCTTGGGTCTTCCTAGTGAGCCATCTGCCATGTTGGGAGCAAAACCCTTTTCCATTGTGAAATACAGGACAGTTAGCCACAGGCTTCATCAAGGATTTCCAAACAGAATTTAGGGAAATAACATTTCAAATCTGGGACTCCTGGGGTGGTTGTCACTGATACGTATGGTGAGGCCAGAAAATGGTTTTCAAATACTGCTCAGGGGCTCAAGAGGAGGAGAGGAGGTATTTTCATTCCCAAGAAAGTTAAGAGCAACTGTCCTCTTACTTTACGGAGGAATGCAGAAGATCTCCAGAAGAGCTGCTATCAAGCTGGGGGTTACAAACCGCACAGGGGCAGCAAGCCAGAGATCAGGGAGTCAGTTTGAGAAAAAGTTGAGAGCCGCTGCATTAGAATTATTTCATTTTTTGATAACTCTTTCTTTTTGAGCTGAAGCAGATTTATAACAGAGGTAGTTCTGATAGCTGCTGTCACCTCATGCAGCTCCTGGGAAAAAAAAATATGGTAATACAACTCTGCTTTATACACAGGTGCATTACTCGTCGTTCTTTTATTATTTGGGACACAGAATAGGCAAAGAGCCTGTTCTTCAGGTATGTGCTTATTCCTCACCTCAAGTGATCAGACACAGCTGTCACTATCAAAACCACTGAAGTAGAACAGAGGTGATAAGAGTACTGCAGGCAAAAATAAAACCTTGGTTTTCTTTTAGTAGAAGCCAGAAACTAGAAAAAAAAAAGTCATGCAGTTGGGGCACCGTCTTGGATACGTTTAAGATGGCCATGGCAAAGTACCTTGCTGTAACACAGCTTAAAGATCATACAGTAACGTTAATTTGATAATGCATCTTTACAAAGCCCAGTGTCTTTGTCCCATTGACAGCTCAGGAAGCCACTGGCATCCAGTTTAACTGGACTTGGCTTCGTACGCTCTGCATTTCACACCCTCTCCTGTAGGCATGGCTATCTAGTTGTGCCTCTCCTGTAAGCAAGTCCATTGTCTGTGTCAGTTATTTTCCTAATGGTATTAGAAAAATATTTCCATTCTCTTGTCTCTGGAGAGTTCTGCCGCTTTTATAAAAAAAATACATACATTTTACATTTGAATTTGTCACAGGTTAAAAGTAATGGTTCTTGGCCATTATCAACAAACAGTGCATTTTCCCCTTCGTCAGCTAAATGGGTTTAAGACAACATCTGTAACTCGTTAGGAATTGGAGTGGAAGGTTAAACTGGCCCGGGTTAGTCATTGCCATGCATCCCAAGCAAATCAAAACTCTACAGTACAAGAGCAAAGCCCTGTGCAAGCTGTGCAGAGCACAGGCAAGTGGAGGCTAGAAATGTTTCAGTAGAGAATGCATAGAGCTGAATTTTTAAGCTCCAAGAAAATCCAAGACAAGGCAAAACAGAAAATTTGTGAGGTGCAGGGATCTGCGAAGATTGGGACGTCTCTGGAAGTATCACAGAGGTGCTTCACCACAACTGAAATGACAGTTGTTAACTTCCAAATCTTTCCTCCTTGCTTCTCAGAGAAAAAAAGGGAGTACTTGAAGATTATAGGGAATGAATTCATTATGGAACCTGTACAGCTGATGTTAGAGTCCAAGAGTTTCCAGGGACAAACAGAGTACAAGCTAACACTGCTTTGAGTACGTGACTATCTGCTGTATTTCTTGCCCCCACATCTCAGTGCATGAAATCTCCAAATAAGGAGGTGGAAAGGGGAAGGGGAGCATATGTGTGCGTGTGCAGAAAAAAAAAGTCAAGGCACTAGCTGGTTTTACGAGCCAAGAACCCTAGGGTGAGACACAGATTAAAAACTGGGTCATCAGTCTACAACAGTTACGGGTTAGTTCTGGCTTCAGTAGTCATGCAGTGGTAAGACAGCCTGTTCTTGGCTGGGTGAGTCTGGATTTAGTGCCAATCGTCACACCTCACAGGCAGGGGTACCTGGATTGGTTTAGTTATCAGGCTGGATGTAGATCTGGCGCTGGGTCAACACTTGAGAAAGTTCCCTCTGCAACTGCTTATACTTTTGGTTGTCGGGGATAGCATCAATAGATCTACAGAGAGTAGTTCAGAAACGAGTGAAGTAAAAGTAGGGAAAAGAACAGTCAGAGGAACTCAGTAACACAGATAGGTGGCATTCTGGAAACCACTAGCAGCGAGCTCAGGAAGAACAAGCGTAAATACACACGAGTCAGAGAAACAGGGGGAAAAAAAAGTGGAGGAGGAAAAGCTGAACCCAGATGTACCGGGTGGTAAAAGGTTCTAAATGGATAATCGCATTGATGCACAAACAACAGCTCTTTTCAACTGAGCCACAGAGGGACGGAAGGACTTGATTCAACTACAGTGCCTTTCCACAAGGTTCACAAGGAAAAAACATAAATCCAATATTAGCCTTAAAATATATATATATATTTTTAAGGCTAAATGAAAGCTGCCTGGCAAATACCCTGCACACCAAAATGATGCATTCGTGCTTTATCCATGCTGCTTCGGGTAGTCTGTCTTTTGTTGAAAAGGGTATTGTATGAACAGAGCAAGAAATTCAATTTCCAAACCTAAATTTTCATCATAATTTCAACAATTTCATTCAATTTTCAAACCTAAACTTTCAACGTGATGAAAGAACTATCGGGTGCAGGCAGCTGTGTTCATTTCAGCCATACGGTCATAAGCAAGGCGGCAGGAACAGGTCCATCAGTACTGTATTTAGACCAGACAACAAGACCAAAAATCTGGGGATTGGCGTGGCATGCCAAAACCCAAAGGGGATGTAAGCCTTTGGGTCCACACCCAGACTTGAACTCACAACCTTCCCACCTGTAGCTCAGCACACAAACCCGAGCCAGACATTTATACCCAGGGCAGAGCAGGACTGCTCATTTGTTTTACTTCAGCATGGAAGAGAGACTGTCTTCATTCCAGTGGTTTATTCTGAATTAAATTTAGAATGATTCAGGATTCAAATACCTCATAGCTTTGTATCCTTCCCCAGCCCCACAAGAGTTTAAAGAAAAACCAAATTTTGGTGTTACTTGGCAAAAAAACCTTCCTGACTGAGCATGATCAGGGGGTCAAACTACAGAAGTGTACAGCAGGGTCATTTTCTTCATCTGCTCTAGTAAACTGCATTTCAGCCGAGGGGTCACAAGGAAGACTAGAGACCCTTTTTGTAAAGCACAAAGCTCTGTTCACAGACTCTCCAATTCCTTGTCATGGTCTGACTTTGCAAAAAGATATATGAGAATCAGGAACTAGAGGTTAAGGTGTTGCTGCAAATTCCTGCAGTTAAAAGGTATAGGGAGAAATGTTCCCTAAAAACACCGCCCACTAGAGAGTTTTCAAAACCAGCAAAATGACTAGACACATGGAAAATTTCCATAGGGATGGAGAAGCTCTAGAAAAACAAAGCCAAATCATTGCTGGGCTGTGGGACAATAGTGAAGGGAATAATAATGGGAAGAACGAGGACCACATGGGCTTTAAAAACTAGTTGTGGAGAGTCCGTTACCTCAGTCCATTAACAATGTCCTTTGTTTTTCCAAAATAAATCTCATTCAGCGTACTTCTGATTTTGTTTTCCATGTCCTAGAAAGAAAGGGAGACGTTAAATGGTTAAATCACTGCAGTTGTTTCTACTTACTCTCCCATGTGTAGCTCTTTTCACTGCTCAGTTAAACTGCAGAGATACAAATACTTCCCATAACAAGGTTTGGCCACTTATTTTCCCATATATAATTCTCTTAATCAGACATGTGCTCTCCCCACAACACACTCTTAATTAACAGTTACACAATTCCCATTAATGTCTAAATTCAGCTCCCTTTAGTGTCTGATGACCATAAATACCTGTCCAGGGCCACAAGAGGGCAGTTTCTGTACAAAGATGTAAAACTTTTTTTTGGTATTCCACTGCAAATAGGACACTGTATTCTCTATCCCCCTCTATAATGCTTATCCACAACACAGAACAAACTCGTAGGTTCTGAGTTAGCCATTTAAGACCCACGAGGATCTTACGAAGTCAACTTGATAATCCAGCCTGCTGTAGAGCACAGCAGCTATACCAACTCGTCTCTAGTTTTGGAAAGATACTGCCAACCAGCATTGATCCCTTCCCCCAGCTCCAGTTCAACCCAGTCAGAAACATCACTGGTCTCCCTTCCTTTGACCAAAAGGCCCAAATTAAATGTGCTTTATGCGTGCTGCTTCAGGTAGTATGTTTAAAAGGATATTGTAGGAACAGAGCAAGAAATTCTGTATCAGCAACCAAATATTGCTCCAGTTTCGACCCAGTTGAGGATACAGGACCGATAATGGCAACAACACCAAGCACTGTACAGAGTAACTCTTGAACATTTAATGAGCACTTACTCCAGGCTGACATTTCTGCTAAAAGGGCAGCTCTGTATACTACAGCATAGCTCTTAAATAATTCTGTCAAAAATAATGACTGTAAAAATGACTATGTGGGTGGGAAAATGTTTAGTAGCTTTCAGGAAATGACCACTTCATTTCTAGGAAAGCTGCTATTGTACTGACTGGGAGACTGTTTGCATGAGAGAAAGATGAGGAAAGCACCACTACAAACCATGCAGGGAAGGGCTTTTCATAGTTAAGAGCCACTACAAAGCAGCCGAGGAGCCTTAACCCAGACAGAGAAGAGTTCCAGGGAAGTTTAGTCCCAATACAAAATATGATTACCGTTTAATACAAAAGAAACAACCAGAAGTTTGGACATACAGGGCAACATACGGGCAAAGAGTTCTTGGGAGACCACAACTGCTATGGCTCCACTGTACATACCTCTACCAAGCGTCCAATATTAGCTATGTGTGGAGAGGAATCGCTCACAGTCTCGTCTTTCTCCATCTAGAAAAAAAAAACCCACATGCAGTTGTAATGAAGAAATGGAGGTAGCAGGGGACACTGGCGGTTCCCCTCACTAACACTGGGGATGGGAGAATGAAGTAAAACTGTGGAGTAAAACGCAGCTTCATCCACATGGTCAGATATATTGAGCATATGGTTTGTTAGCAGGTTAGAAATGCCCAGAGCTAGTGTTTCAGAGAGGAATTGCAGAGCCAGTGTCATGAGAGATCAAAACACCAGCCAACACAAAGAGCTCTCTCATGTGGAGCAAGCCATCTGAAGACTGGAGTTGCCGGATTCAGATGCATGCCTCCTTCAAAGATTTCTCACTGCAATCCCAGTTCACCCAAAGTAACCCTATTGCTCCATGAGATCTGTTTGCACCAGCACCCACCCACCACCACTGCTTAAAAAAAGAACGGGTAGACATTACAGGATAGCCATTCATGGTCTATTATGCGACTGCACTAGATCCATAATACAGCTTGCAAGTGTCCTTTGGTGGGGAACACAAACGCAGTCCAAATCTGAAGCCACTAGAGCTGCTGATGAGGTGCACATGTGCATGGTGCTCAGTCCAACAGCTGGAATGTGTCCTTGTGAAAGCAGCTGTTTCTTTTCATCTTCATCTCAGTGCTATTTGTAACAACTCATGGGGACACAGCCTATATTTTCAGGATTTCCTAGTGATCTTCACCTTGGAGATTAGGAAGTGGGAAGAAAAGAGTAGATGCCCTAAGCTGCTGTGTTTTGGGAGGGAAAGACCAGAGCTCAACTAGATCAGTGATAATGAAGCCTACTACCAGCTTTCAGCCGCTACGGATGAAGGCACATGGAAACAGAAAAATCCCAGAAAACACACTGAGAAAACATAACAGACGAGGAAATACTTGGTCTAGAAGGTTATTCTGCAGGGCACTCTCAGATAACGTGATGTTTAACATGATGCTGCTGCAGCCAAAGACAAAATCCAGCCCTGATCTTAACATTATTGCTTTAATGAGCAAAATGCCCACACTGCCTTGTTCAGTGCTGAGTAAAGCTTGAACAGGTGACAGAGCAAACTGACTGAGACTCAAACCACCACTCCCCACCAAGAACAAGCGGGAGGCCATGCAGTGCAATGCCATGCTCCCTTCAACACATTCAGCTATGTCCAACGTAAAGCAAAATTCAGCTGTAGAACACAGCTAGCCCTATGTGATCTGTAACCTTGCAGTGCTAGTGAAAAGACTGGCTCCTCTGCCTAATTTAGGAGCTGAAAATTCTTCTTACTAAATATAGACAAACTGCAAAACAATGAGTATCAATCCCAAGACAGGCAAGTGATACAGATGTGCTGAAATAGCATAACTGGGGGGGGGGGG